AAGATGAGCCAGGCGGAGTCTGTGTCCTTAGAGGGGAAGAGCTCATAAGCACAGCTTGTCAGGGGTTGGAGAGAGCTCAGAGGCTGCGAGCATTGCCTGCTCGTGCAGATGAGTCAGACTCACAAAGTTCCCAGAACACATGCGGAGCTCACTCCCATCCATAGCTCCAGTTCCAGTGATCCAGTGCCCTCTTCTACCCTCTGTGGATACTGCACACACATGGTGCACACACACACATGGTGCACACACACGGTGCACACACACACATGCAGCCAAAACACTCATACACATAAGATAAAAATTAAGAATAAAAGGAATTACTCTTCACACTGAAGCTCCTGACACCAGTGAGAGCTTTAATGACTAGGAATCACCGAGTTACAATTTCTTTACTACTGAGGGTCCAAATAAATAGCTTGTCCCTCAAGTTTCATCAAACTAAGCAACAACTTCATCAGACACCAACTTCTTTGAGGTTTTTTATAAACTAGAGACAATAATTCATTACCCATCTGGACTGCTAGCCAAGACCAGGTCCATCCCTGGAGGGGCCAATGTCTGCATATCTCCATAGCTTAGAAAAAGAACCGTGTTTTGATGTGAACTGCCCTTTTCATTGCCATTTATTAACAGTTTTTCGTGTACTTGCTTATTTACAAGCCTTCCATTAACAATTTCATTAAGGCATAACACTAATTTCCTCTGGGTTGTTGATGCTGTCAAGTGTGTATCGGGAACTTCTTTCCAAGCTTCTCTGCTAAACGGGAAAGGCCTCCAGAGATAATGACCATTTTGGAAACAATCCTTTAAAACCCGCCATCTGTAAAGATCTTCCTCCTCACGTGTCTTTCTGAAGAGGCCCAGCTTTGCTGATGGAGTCTTGTGTTTGTCTTTATCATGAAGTAGGAGGTGTACGGTTTATTGCAGCTTCCTTTCTGGTTTCAGCCCAACACATTGTGTCTTTAACCCTTCCTCTGAATGACCTCTGATTACTCCTGCTCCCCGACACTTTCTTAAGCATGCTCAGAACTCCTGCCTCGGAGGTGATAGGGCTCAGAGCTCCTGCCTTGGAGGTGATAGGGCTCAGAGCTCCTGCCTTGGAGGTGATAGGGCTCAGAGCTCCTGCCTCGGAGGTGATAGGGCTTCAAAGCAAGCTGACTGACAATAGCAGGTTAGGGAGTGGCCTTATTTCACCCTCCTCACCCTTCGGTGCTAATTCATGAAGCTACCTAGAGTTAGGGGCCCCTGTATCTCCCAAGGAAATCGGAAATACTGAAATAAGGATTGAGTTTCTGGAAAAGGTAATTTTTTTTTTAACAAATATAAATGATGTATTTTGTAAACAAGTGAAGCCAAGTAAGCACCTCACAGCTTCCCCTAAGGAAGAACAGATATAAACTATTGAAATTTGTCCTTGAGAACAGCAACTGAAAATAAGAAGCAAAATATCTGAATGACACACCTAACAAGCAACTTATTTAAAAACAACAACAACATTTTGAAATTCTAGTCAAAATATGAGATTCAGGCGTGCCCCTTACTACACCCTCATTGGGGTGACTTATGTCCAGCACCCCCCAATCCCAACATCAGCAGGGACAGAGTAAAGCAGCCACCCTGTGCAGAGCGAGACAGCGCATGTGCAAAGCTGGGCTTTTTCCAAACCTTTGATTCAAAGTTCTCCAGTTGATGTTATTTACTGTGGTCAGATATTAAAATAGTGGGGTCCCTCACCTCAGAGACCCGGAGCGTAAATTAGAGAGAAGGCATAAGAGAACTGAGTTTGGTGGTCCCATCAGAGGCTCTGACGGACGTTTGTCTGCCTCACAAAAGCCTCTGTACAATTGGGCTCAATTTGTCACAACTGACAGTCTGCTCTAAAGAGGCCCAGGCTGGAGCGGCATAGTTTACGGCTTTTCCCTCCTTGGTTCTGACCGGAGGACAGAATTCACCCAAGAACAGTTAGTAACACCAGGCACTCTGCCCAACCCACGCCGTCATATGAATCTTGTTTTTCTGTCCCCCTCCCCCATATGGTTATAGGTCGGAGTCCTTAGTGTGAGAGAAACAGCTCTTGGACACCATCAGACCCAACCACGGGAGACCTTCAAGGACACAATCCTCTCACGAACTGTGAGGAGGCCTCTGAAAACACCGGCTGAGATGACATCTGCATGGTAGTTTATGTGCCTTTAGAAGCCAGAGCCAGCCTTCCCCGGCGCTGCATTTTCCCACAGTGCCCAGCTCTGTTTCTCTGATGGTCTGTCCTTCGATGCTACTAAAAGCGGACAGAAGAATTTGGCCTGCTACCTTAAATGCACCATTCGGTGCAGGTCTGAAAACCCAGTTTGTAATCGGACAACCCCAGCAGGGCGGTGAGAAGGCAGGCAGGGCCCGTGGAAAAGTCATCAAACACCTGGTTTCTGTGTGCTGCTAAAAAGATGGCTGGGGAAAACAAAATTTATTGTGTAGGCACCTTGCGGGGAGCATGGGCTCCATATAATTGTCTTAAGAGTAATTGAATGTGGCCTTTAACAACTCACAAATTATCCCCTGACAACTTGAAATAATAGGCCTTTTTGTTAAGGGGAGAAAGCTTGTGGAGACCAAAGGTTAAACAGGTCTTTTCATCATGATAAATCACTGGTTAATGAGGTCACTATTGTTGGGTATTATGACCAGCCCCTTTAATGCCATTACCTCCTGGTTGTAAAGCTGACATTGCTAATGATGGGTATTCTTTGAACTTTTCCACAATATTGACTGCTTCTCAGAGCAGATGTCCCCTGGAAGCAACTGCTATAGGGAATCACAATTCTTAAGCCATGGAAAGAACCTCAGGCAAGTTTCTGGGATACAGAGGGTCTAGGCATTGGCGGACAGGCAGGAAGAGGTGAGAAACAGGAGAGCACCCGCTTCGGTGTGTGCAATCCGTTTGCCAAATGCCGGAATGTGCAAGCAACATCTAAAAGCTCACCAACTCAGTCATCAGAAGGCAGGTGCTAACTGGAAGAAAGATTTGGTTCACTCATCAGACTTTATAATAGTCCAAATAGATTTGTTTTATCCTTATCAGACCCTTCTAAATTCCACTGATTGTTAAATAAGGGTCTGAGAACCTCAGTGGGGCTACTATGTTCCAAGATTCTGTAGTGTTGGGGGCTAGGAAGCTTTGATTCCATACACGTGCTCTCTCAACCTGTCATCATCACCAGGAGCAATTACCAATCGCTGCTTCTGACTCCCTGTAACCACTGGAGCAGTTTCCTTCACACACACCACCCTGGGACACAGTAGGTCATCTGGGCTTGATGAGGGGACATAAATAAAACTAGAGAATTTCCACAATGAGAGGAAGGGACCTTAGAGGCCTACTAGGTGCAGAGAAACCACCCAGAGGTGGGCATTTCAGCAGCATCTGAAACCAGATAATGAGTGGTTGGTGATGATGAGCAGCTAATTAAAGCCCATTGCAGCTGTGGGAAGTCAGTGTAACACTGTCATTTAACCCCTCAAGGGTTTGGGGACCTGCCACGGATACTAGGTGACTTAAAAGTGGAAAGCATGTATATGACTTTACTGCATTAACATTTGAAATGCTGAGCTCATCGCCACGATTTCCCTTTGGAGCTGAGAACAAACCGAGACTCCTCCACAATGGCGCCGTGCTTCCCCTCAGAGCGAGTGTGTATTCACACTGGCAGTTGAACCAGACATTGCTGCTTCAGTTTCAACTCCAGATAACAGACACAGTGTGGGGTAGAGGCACTTCTGAGAGGACTCGACATTGGTGAGGGGGGACGGCAAGAGGAGAGCCTGTGGTCAGCATGGCCATGTCTCAGGATAGACCTTGTGGCAGGAGCTGTACTTCATTTCAAACTTGCAGGCAGGAGGAATGCATGTTTACTGAATTAATTTCATAAATAAACAGAAACAGTGGTTGAACTATCTCAGACTCTTCCCAAAGCTGTCTCACTTCAGATCCTCAATTTGGTTTTTTATTTGTTTGTTTATTTGTTCTATTTTGTTGTTTTTGCAAATGCCATGGGCCAATCAAGTGGAAGAATCTGCTCAATTTTTTGTTTTCTTTTGTTTTACAGATTGAAGAGATCTACCAGAGGGCAGGGAGCACGCTGACTAAGAGGAGATTCGGATTTCAGAAGAGGAGAACTGTCCAAAGCAGATGTGATAAAGTGAATCTGGTGAGAGACTGTTGGTGTTGTGTGCATTCTTCTAGCAACGAGCTTTCCATCCTTGGGAAAAGAATCAAAGTCTTCCCTTTATAGGACAAAAGATGGAAAGTTAGTTAATCTCTCAAGAGCCTTTTCTAGGCACCAGGGATCCGAAAACGGGGGAGAAGGGGCAGCCACCCTCTGATGTCTGGAATTTCATATCAAAGCCCTAATAATTAGCTGATTTTCACTTTTTTTGAGAACACAACCCTGGACCCACAGGGGGGATTAGGCAAGTCTTAATTAGTGAGGCTTAATTTCCAAAGCAGAGCTCAGGCCTCTTCAACATTCAACTGAAATCTGAAATGAATCAGGAGCCTGTTGGCTGTCTTGAAACGGATGGGCCTCCAGTCCTGCATCCAGGGAGTTAGAACCTAGAGGGCTCAGCTTTCGCCACTTCGCCATGACAGTGAAGGACAGAGAGGTGTCAGGTACTGCAGACTGGGGCTTAGAGATTGAACTGTTCCCATGTCTAGAGCTTAGAGCAGATAGATAGATAGATAGATAGATAGATAGATAGATAGATAGATAGATAGATAGATAGATAGATAGATAGATAATGCTCTTATATATATAATCTTATATATAATAGTCTAAGAAATACACACACACATATACTGCTTAGAGCATTATAACCATTAATTAATTTAAATAACTATTGCCAAGAACATGTGAGTAGAACAATAGACAAATGAGACAGTGGGAATAATTTACATTTGCCACAAGCTGCCCCTTGGTCTCGGATTGCGAGCGCTTCTCCTGGCACCCTTCCTCCACTGGTCAGTGAGCAAACTGAGATCCCAAGAGGTGAAAGGCAAAGCATATCAGGGGGAGGGACATCAAAGGACATGCCGTTTCTAGGGCAAGATGCTTGTCCCTTGGCTTTTATGACCTGGGGACTTGTGTGGTGGTGAGCAGTGTTGGGATCACAATGTCCTTCAGCCTGTTCTACATGGTATGTATGCGCTTCCACGGTAGCTCCAGAAGCCAGGGCAGCTCACGGATTGTAAAGAATTGACTCCCCAGGACTGGTGAGATGACTCAGTGGGTAAAGGCACTTGTCGCCAAAACTGACAACTGAATTGGATCGTCAGGACCCGTGTGGTGGAGGGAGAGAACTAGTTCTTCCACATGCACAGGAGGCCTGGAGACACCCTGTGAAGGACTGATGCTTGCCAGAGTCCACCCAAGTGTTCTGCTCTCTCAGAGGTCCTGCCTAATCCTGGAAGATTGCACTTGTTGTATTGTGGAGGTCTGGCTAACACAAGCTCTTTGCTACTTCTCTTTGGCCCAGATTCGGGAGACAGTTTCCCTTATGCTTCCACATGAACCATCTTCTTTCTCAAAGTCAGCCCGCAGCAGCACTGCCCACCAGTGCCTCTAGCTCCCGGGAGCAGAGAGCTGGTTTGTCAGGCTAGCTCCTGTCCTGTTCCCCACTGCTGACTCACACCCTGACAAAGGCCCCACGAGCCCCAGCTGAGACCACGGACTGCACAGGCTGTGCTCATTCAGTTCATTTAGGATGTCTCCGAGTGAAAGAAGTTGAATTTGGAGAGAGAGAAAAAGGCAGGGGCTCATCTCACACATGCTGATTAGCATAAAATTGCTCTTCTGTCTCATCTGGGAGAAAGACAATGGGGCAGGGACGGCTGAGGGATAGCTCCCTCACCCTTACTCCCCTGGGCTTAGCAGAAGCTAGGGAAATGGGATCAACCCCAGTCCAGCTGTGACTCCAAAATGGCTCCTCTGGCCCACACCTTTTTTCTCCTGGGCTGCAAGTATAACATGGAGAGCTGGGGGGTGGGGGGGATGGACAGGATGGACAGAAGGCTCTGGTCCTTGTTCAGAACTGACAGTGAAGACCCCAGAAACGTCATTCCGCCATTTATTCTGTTTATTGAGTGGCTGCTGTGTCAGGCTATTTGCTAACCACCGGTTCCCCCAGATGCTTCTTGGCAAAGGAGATGAGAAACAGGAAAGAACATGAAAAATATCTGCCCCACAATGCTGAGAATCAGCTACATACATTTAACTCAAAAGTGCACAATTCTGGAATGTCTTAATAGCTAAATAGAGAGAAGAGTTAGAATTACACTTATGCCTCATAGATAACAGTATTCTTAAGATTCTAGAACTAAAGCACATGCTAATAATGGAGGTTAACTAGGGTTGGCTAAGTCTCACAAGGAGAGCAAGAGGCAGAAGGTTTGATACACAAACACTTCCCACATTGATGAACTCCGCCCAGCCCTTAGGAATATCTCTCCTTGCCCAACCATCCAAACAGCTCTTTTCCAGGATACAGACTCATTTCCCATCAGTCTGAAGTGAGACTATACGGGCACCAGAACCAGATCGGGACAAACAGACTCTAAATCCTGCTCCCAGTACTTGCCATTCCCCCTCATTTTGGAAGCCTTATGTTCCCGACCTGTAAATGCCAGGTGATGAAATCACTTCCCTAGCAGGAATAAATGACATGAAGCACAGCACACAGGAGATGCTCAAATGCAGTAACTTCCCAGTCTGTGTGTTAAGACAGACAGCTGCAGCCAAGTCCATCCAGTCTGTGAAGCATGCCCCAGGTAGGCGCAGGCTAACTTGGCAAGCCACACGATGCAGGGGCTCCCAAAGATGACATCTGAAGTCACAACGAGTAGCTCACTCTCCACACAATAAAGTCCTTTAGAAGTCCTTATCACCGGTGTAACTTGGTGGTAGAATGTTTGCTTCGAATGCTGAGTGCAATCCCCACTACCACTACAAACCAAGCAAGCATTTAAAAAAAAAAGTCACTCCTGCCCCAATCCTCACCACAGTATTTCCACTGTCAGTTGCAGGGCTTCCAGCAAGTCCCACCCTCTGGTTCCTGAAGCCATGGCTTCTGAGTACAGAAGCAGAAAAGGGACATCGGAAGGACAAGGCTCCTTATGAGATGCTGACCGACTCTCGTGAGCATCTGTGGGAGCTATTGTGTCAAAATCGAGGGCTCATAATCAGCGCTGATATGACGCGGTGCACGCATCCCCTTCCCCCGGGCACCCTTTGGGACCACCAGTTGTGGCCCGGCACAGCTGCACGGCCCCCCCAGTCTGCAGTATATTGACACAGCCATTTTCATGGTGGGCCTGTTGTAAATTTGTTGCTACATGGTGCGTCTGCCCCAAATTGCACGGTGTACGTAAATTTTTGTGTGTGTGGTGGGGCTGGCACGGGGGTTGGGGGGTGTCTAGGGGGCTGAATGGAGCCTACGATGGGGCAACCCGCAGGAGACCTAACCCTGATAAATTGTTTATTTGTTAGCAGTGGGGCTCAAGAGTGAGCCTGGCGGCTTCAGGCTCAGCGGGACAGACGTAGAAGGTGGACCCACGCCAATTACCAGCCATTGTGGTCCCACCCTGTGATTGACACCAATGTCTCCCCTCACACCATGGGTTCTTTTACTATACTGGACCCAACACAAGCCCCACTGTGCGAAGACCATGGTCTTCTCAATTTCCTTTGCTGCTGGCAAAAATTAACCTAGGCCTCCGGCCCGGGGAAGACCCACGGGCTTTATTTTACTACGCATTTTCCCCCAGTTTTTCAAGGATGAGTAACAAAAATGGAGGTTGCTAAGGCCAGTTGGGCAACAAATGAAGTAAAGGGACAAACATTATCTCTGGATGACTGACTTCAAAGTTAATGATCTCCCCCACTGAATGGTGCCCTCCGCAGCTCAATGAGGCCTCTGCCATCCGCTAAAGAAGCGCCTCTTTAATCCTCTCCCATCGCTTTGTCCTTTTGTGGCAAAATGATCATTTCATCAGTTTCTGGTACTCTCGGCCCCAAGAGTTGTTTAGCCTGAGTGATTCAGAGCCGGAGAGACAGAGAAGGGTATTTCTCTCCTTCATTTTTCCTCAAGTGACGGCTGAATAACTATGCAAAAAAATTAAGGCATAATGACCCCGCAACAGTGACAAAACCTAATTAGTCACGGAGGCCACTGGCTAATGAGCCGCAAAACCCGGCTCTTGAGTGTGTAATAACTGTATTTTTCTCCGTTTCTTCCCTTTAGTCACAGCCTTGTGTGGCATTTCTAACGAACTAAAATGGCACCAGATGCAACAGGGTGCAGACATTTTAACTTGAATTAGGAAACCATATGTTCCGATAAGTCACGGTCTCTTCTTTCCCACAGACTGGGTCCCTCCATCTGTGAGGTGGCACTGGTAGGGAGGGGAGAGCTGCCACAGGGACCGTCACCCCACGAAGAAGACTGGGTGCTGGGGTTGGGAGTCGGGCCCGCTGGGACAGTAGATCCTGTATCAACTCGGATGCTCCAGATACCGGTCCAGCTGTGCCTCAGAGCACAAGCAGACATGGAGCTGAGGGAGGAAGAGGAGATGGCTGAGGCAGAGGGGCTCAGCCCAAGCAATTCAGTGTGGAGACTTTGAGCTGTTCTACACACGAATGTTTAGTGGCCGAAGCCAGTTACGACTCTCACAAAAATCTTGCATCTTATCACATGCATGTGTGTGATAAAGACCATCAGGGATCAGTGCACTTAGGGGTCTGCCCGTGGTCACAGTTAGAAATGTGCGACTCTGATTGCCAGCCACCCTTGGGATCACCAACCCGGCCTTTCCTGTGTTGGTAATCATTATTGTTCGTCTTAACGAACTCCCTCAGTAGGAACATTTAAAAGGCAGAGTGCTCCCTCATCACACTGCTTGGCATGCCTCTCTCTTCAGCCCGACTCAGGGAGGCAGGTTTTGGTTTTGTGCAAAGCGGCCAGGTAAGATGGCACTAACAGTTATTAATTGCAACCTCAAGCTTGCACTCCTTGTCACACTGTGGAGACACTGTCCTGGGTTCTGAACTTGGATCTGTGTTGTAGTTATTTCCAGCCTTCACTTACACACTTGGGTTCGTACGGGATTATAAAACACAAGACAGTATAATCTTTGTTCTCGGAAAGGCAGGAAGGTTAATCTGTCTTCTGTCCCTCTCCTCACCCGGGTAGGGGAACCAAGGGAGAATTTCCTCCAATTCTTCCTGGACTTGAACAAGGGCCTTGTTACGTAGTTGAATCATCTGAGGGAATCCCACAACATCCCATGTGGACTGTGAAGTGTGGATGAACTACGGAGTACTGATGCAGACAGCTCCCTCCTTGAGGAATCTTGATACAGCATGCACTAAAAAGAAAACTCTGTATCTAGTGCCCATTGTCCTCCTATAGTGGGGTAGAGACACAAAACCACAGTGTAGGACTGGGGTGTAGCTCTTGCTCAGCACAGACTCCTGTGTTTGATCCTCCAGATCACAAATTACAAAAGGCTGGGGAGATGGCTCAGTTGGTAAAGTACTTGTTGTGTGAGCAAAGAAACCTGGGGTTGAGCCCCAGGAAAATGTTAAAAACAAATCAAACAAACAAAACCACTGGGCATGGCGGTGTGCCTGCAATCCCAGTGCTGAGGAAATGGAACCAGGCGGAACCCTAGGCTCACGGCCAACCAGCCTAGGAGAATAGGGGAACTCCACAGTAAAGGGAGACCCTGTCTTAGAAATCAAAGCAGAAGAAACTGAGGCAGGACACCCAAGACTAGCCTGTGGCCCTCACAAGCATGTGCACACACACAAACATACACATGCATATGTGCACATGTATGTACACATGTGTAAAACACTCAGAAGTATAACATAAAGCGAAGTGGAGAGTCAATACAATATAAATCATATTCTCCACTGCCTGACAGCTGGAGCACAGCAAAGCCTGGTGTCTGGGACTGTGGGCTGCAATAACTGTTATTTCTCCAAGCCAGAACCAGCTGCAGAATGGGCTGGGCCAGGTGAAGACATGGAATCGTTTCTTTAAAAATGACTGAAAATTCCCAGATGTGCACACAGAACGCAACACTCCACTCCTTTCTCAGGAGGGGGGCCCTGTGTGGATGTACAGGTCACTCGCCTGAGAAGCCAGCCCTGCATCATCGCCCCTAGGTGGAACTACGCCCACCACCAGCACCTCCAGCTCCTCTGACTTCTCGCTCACAACCACCCCCAGCTGACTCTCCCTTCTCTGTAATTTGAACTTCAGAGAGTCCACACCGCACCTCAGAAGTGCTGCGCTTTGCACGCACAATGCCATCTCATCTGGACGTTTCTCCAAACTTTCAACTATTCTCGTCTTGGCAAGCTTGGCTGCTCTGTTCATCGGCCTTTTCCTGCCCTCAAGCCAAGTCATTATCCTTTTTATATACTGCACTTTGTGCCCTTGTGAACCTGTTGAAAAATAGTGAAAGGGAGCTGAAAAGTGCCACTGGCTCCGAAAAACAGTGCTGACTAGGAGGCAGAAAGGGGGAACTCCGGTTTTATTCAGTGCTAAAGATAACACCACCAGAATGATAGACTCCTCCGAATTGTTTGTCCCCACTGGCCATTGTCCCCCAGGCACTGAATGAGCCTCTTAGTAGCTCTTGAGGCCTGTCACAGGTAGGCACCCAATGGAGATAATTCCCAGCCTATGCTTGACTGCCCCTTAACAGACCCTGGCCCTGCTCTGAAAGGCCTCAGACTCTGCTGAATAAAACCCTCGCCTCCATCAACTTAGTCTCCCACTGAATTTTCCGGGGATGTGAGCAGCTTCCCAGCATCCGCAGAAGATGCTTCTGAATGCGCTCCTGTTCTGAATCGGAGCCCAGCAGCCAGGCCTCCTGCCCTAGCAAGAAGGGATAACACGCCATCCACCCCCGAGAGGAAGCTCGCACTCTCCTCGGCTCTGCGGCCTGCTTTTCACATATAGGTGCTGGGTACAGAGTATTCCTTGTCTTATAGAAGAAAAAAAAATCCTCTTTGTTGTCCACACCCCATGCCTTTGGGTTTTTGAAAAAGAAGAAGGGTCCTACAGTCAGAGAGAGTCTGGGCACACACGTCTCCAGGAAGCTCTAGAAGAACATGGGCTGAATTGTCCCAAGATAAACTTGTATCCAGCTGTACTGCTCTCCAGCTTGTAAGCAAGTCACTTGTCTTTCTAAGCCAGTCTTCTCATCTATGAAACAGAGCTCAGGAATGAGAAAGGGTAGGAGTGGGTATGAGGGGGAGATGCCCAACATAGAGCATACACCTGTACAGAAGCTTTAAAAAATATGAGAAAAAGAAATGAAACAGAGCTCATCATAGGGCCTGTCTTTCCCAAAGCTTAACATAGATTACACACTCATATGTGTAAGATGCATACTCAAGATATATGTACAATTGCCACTATGATGCATGCATAAAGAGCACGGATGGATTGTGTCCCCATAATGCCCGAGGCATTTTTGTTCCTTGTTCTGACTTATCACATTCCTAGGAGCCTTGGAGGCTGGTCCTTCCTTCTGCACATCACCCTCCTGCTCCACCATCCATTCAGTTCTTTCTACACTGGCTTGTGAGTGAAGGGGACATGCATACCAATACAGCCCCGTTTCTTACCATGCCCGAGGCAGATACTTTATAATAGCATCTCATCCAAATATTGGTGTAAAAAGGCCCAGGAGGTCAAAGGGCTGTTTTAAAGCTTTGGGGCAGTGCCACCCACGAGAACACTTGGGAAAGACAGTATATGGGACATTAATTATTGTTTTTGTAAATTCAGTGACTTTGGGGGATTTCTGTGGGTGAGAACAGCCAGACAATGCTACAAGAGAGGTCACCATATGGTTGTCCAAGCTATAAGTGGGAGATGCATTAATGTGACTCAGATCATATTCCGTAGCTCGAAGCAGGGAATCAGTGACAGGAAATGGTTCAAGAGACCTTTGACTTCAAGGAAAGAGAATGCTGTGGTGTCAAAGGAAGAGGAGTCTCATCAGTGCAGACATGGCTGACATGGGTGGATGGTCTGTTTACACATTCAGAGAGACACTGAAAGAGTACCTCAAGCGGCAGGCCTACAGTTAGAGAGGAGAAATAAATAGTCCAAGACAGCACAGACAGACACAACTCGCTCTGACCCCAGAGCAAACACCCTGCTCTGCCCACCATGGCAGCCGCCACCTTCGACCCATGAGAGCTGATTAGCGAAAGTAAATGTGACAGAAACCACGGCTTGACCATCTCCCTCTTCTTCCTAGGGAATAAGATTTCAGTCAGGTGATTACACAGGGATTCCCCTGAGGTGAAAACTGCAGTCTGCAGCCATCCTCATTGACCATGTGCCTAATTCTGTCCCACAGGACAGAAGGAGAAGGATCATGGGGTGAACAGAGAGGTTCGTGGAGCCACCTTCTCCTTTCCCTCCTACTTCCGGGAGTGATGCTGGGAACTTCACAAGAATCAAGAACACATCCTCACGTGGTAAAGCTGAACACCAGGAGCCGAGGGCTCATGAAGAACCCTCTGGCCAGCTCTGGGTGGCTGGTTGCTGGTTCTTTACATGAAACATTGCCTCTGCGTCATGCTGATTGGTTCAGTCTTATCTCACATCTCTGATTAAGCAAAACTAATCCTAACGGACTCAGAAATGTCAAGGACATTAATCTGAAACAGGGAGCACTGTGACTCTGAGTGCTGTCACCATGACAGCGTATGGAATCATTGGGGAGATGGACCTCTGGGCAAGGCTGTCAGGGATTATATTGATTATACTTACTGATGTGAGAAGACCATATTAATTCTGGGTGGGACCATTCCCTGTTCGGGGGGGTCTGGGATCATATCAAGTGGAGAAAACCAGCCAAGCACTAGAAAGCTTTCCTGTCTCTCTGTTTCTTTGGCTGTAGATGCAATATAATGGGTTCCCTCAGGTGTCTGCTGCTGTAACATCGTCTCTGTGATGTTATAACATGGAAGTATGACAGCCACAGAAGAAGTAAGACAGATGTTTCCCCTCACAGAAGAAGTAAGACAGGTCTTTCCCTTCCATCTGAGCATAAGGAGCTGTCTATAGGTTGCATCTGATACGAGATCCCCCTAGTCCTAGGCCTATCTAGTAAATTCTTTCTGGAAACACAAAATGAGGCAGAGTCTCCCAGGTCTGTAAACAAACATTCAGTTGTTCAAAGGAGAAGGGTAAGTGAAGAACAAGACAGACTCTGGGAAAGCAGACAAGATGGCGCATCTCTGACAGGAATGGTCCACTGATCTCTAGGAAAGGCGCAGTCAGCAACCAGAGGAACCACTGGACAGAGCAGCACCCTTTTGAGTAGCAAAGTGTGGTTAATGAACATTGGAATGTAACAAGGGCCACCAACAGTGGCCCGGGTCCTGGAGAAATCTGGAGTGCCTCTGAGTACCTGCTTTGGACATTCTAAGCTTTTAATTTGGATTCTTGGTTTCCACACATATCTGGACTCTTCTTCCCAGTCTTTGGCTTGAGTTTCATGTGTAGATTAAGCCTTCTTAGGAATGAGGACTGGTGAGGTCACCTCAGCGTGCCTGGACCTCATCTCCATCCACCCGTACTTACTGCAGAAGGTCTTCTGCTCTAAGAGCAAGCGTCACATTTGTCCTGACTCAAAGACAGCTCTTTAATCTGTATTTTTAGCCACCTCTTTTTCAGATCTCTATTGTGTTTTCTGAGGCAGGGTCTCATGGAGTCCAGGCTGAACTCAAGTTTTCAACATAACTGAGGATGACCTTGAATCCCTGATCTGCTTGCCTCCATCTCCCAAATGCTCTGACTCAAACTGTGATCACGACTGTTGATCCCATATATACATATATATGCTTTGATTAGATTGAAGGAGTATTTATCTACCTGAAATTTCTATATAGTTTAGACATAACTGTTTAACTTATCAGGTACCTCACCCGCATTTGGCTGAGGAAATTGGAGCTTGGCTATTTCATTAATCTGTTTCTTTACATAAGCGGTCCTGTCCTTCCTTGTATTTCTGTCGCACTGGGCTGTTGAATTCTGTGCCCTAGGATTTGATCTTGGGCTCCCTCATCTTCACTAAGAAAGGCAGTTATAAGAATCACAGAGCATCACTTCAAATGCATCACTTGGTAAGCATCACTTGGGTAAGCACTCTGCAGGTGTCTTTACTGTCTGGATCTCTGGAGCCTTTAACAGGCAAGTATACACAGCTGGTCTCCAAGGGGAAGGTGCAGCATTTAAATTCTCATGTTTATGTTTAACTATGGGCACAGTCATCCAGTCATGACTATGAATGGAACACAGTTCCAACGACAGCACCAGGAATCTCTGGCTAGCATTTTCTTGGGCATTAAATGTGAATATCTTAAAATTATGTTAGTTAATGAAATAAGCTGAACATGCTTTCACCTTTTTCAGAGTTGAAACATACATTTTTCTGAGCTCTTTCTATGTCTCTCTGTCTCTGTCTCTGTCTCTGTCTGTCTTTGTCTGTCTCTGTGTGTGTGTGTGTCTCCTGCCTCCCCCACCCCATCCTCCTGTCTCTGTCTGTCCTGCTCTCTACTCCATCCCTCTCTCTGTCTTTCCTGCTCCCCCCACCCCAATCTCTCTCTTGCTCTCTTTTTAGACAGGGTCTTTTCCAGACTGACCTCAAATTCCCCATGAAGTTGAGAATGAACTTGAAGTTTTTATCCTCTATTCTTCACTTGAGAGGCAGGAACTGGAATTGTCATCGTGTGCCACCACATCCAGTTTATGTGGTGCTGGAGATGAAATCCAGGGCCTTGTGACTGCTGGGCAGGCACCCTACCAGTTGAGCCCCAGCCCCAGCCAGCAGCTGGCCTTTCCAGCTCATCATCTGTGCTCTGTGTACAAATCTCAAGTCTGACGGGCCCAGATGCTCAGTGCTCTACATGATGCTCTCCTCTGTATACTTACTAGTTAGAGTTCTGGATTTTTCTTCTATCCATCGTCATTTAGAAGAATATTTTAAATTATGTACCAAGTTTCATTTCTATTTTATCAGCAATTAATATTTGGAATACACTGAGTTTCCTTACAGCCTAGTATATTTTCAATGCTTTATATCATCCATAAATGCTTTAAAAGACCTCTATAAGCATTTTGGATTCTTTTCTACTTGATGTCAGAAAGTGCTAACATTAACATCCTTTATAAAATTTGATCTGCTTAGTTCTCCTTATAGTTCCTACAGTTTTGGCCTTAGATAGGTAGATGACAGCTAGATCAACAAATAGATGAAAAATGACAAATACATGATATGTAGATAGGTAATAAACAGATGATAGATTATAGATTGATGCGCAGATAGATAGATACCCAGGTGACAGCTAGTTAAACAGAGCAGTGATGATGGAAGACATAACCAGGTAGGTGACAGGTAGATGATAAGTGATAAACTATACATGATAGATTTGACACTTGTCTAGCTGACCCATAAAAATGCCTGATTGGGAATTTCATTTTTATTGGCGTAACTTATTTTATTAATTTCATTGATATTTTTTCTTGACTTCAAACACATTCCAGTTGACGAAGTCAGCACACTCCCATTCACAATCTTTTCTTTATACACTATTTTTGCAATTGCTTTCTCTATTACTAAAGATATTTTTATGACAACCATTTGTGGCTATCCCCAGGCTTGACTGGTCTCAGAACCTCACCTCCCTGTCCTCGTCAGGGAGGCTGAACCAAAGGCACAGAGAGGAGCAGGTCACAGACTCAGAGGGTCCTGAGAGTGTGGGAGAGAGCCACCTGCCCAGTTCCCACGAGGCAGCACTGTGCTTCCTGTTACAGGGTAAGAATCCTCTTCCCTTGGCTAACATCCTTTAACTCCGGCTATCTTCAGGGTCCGGGGTGAGCCCTAAGGCAGCTCAGACCACATGCTATTTCTCCAGGTGAGATACTGGGGCAGCTGTATTTTCCACAGACAGACACTTTAATATCCGCCATACTTCACCCACTCGTCCAGAACTCTGCTGTATTTCAGCTGAGAAGTGGCATCTAGTTCTTCTCCCCTTGAGCCCAGGAGGAGGGGGAAACGGTCTTAGTGGCTGCCATGACACTCTGTGACTTCCAAGGCGAGAGCCTAACCTACTCCAGTGTCCCATGTTATAAAGAAGTCCGAGTAGTTAGTGGAGACCTTTGTGTGGAAAGAACTGAGTCCCAGGCAGACTTCCAACTAACCTCTAGCACTGTGGTGGTTTGAAAGAGATGTCCCCTATTTTCTCTGATGACGTTTGGCTACTTGGTGCCCAGTTGGCAGCACTGTTTGGAGAGGCTTGGGCGGTGGGGAGGCCGTCTGCCACTGGGGGCTGCCGCTGAGGTTTCAAAGCAGCACACTGTCACACCTGTTCCCAGTGAGCCCTCTGCTTCCCGTTTGCTTTCAGCTGGCTGGTCACCAGCCCACCTTCTGCCATGCTACCCCGCTGTGATGGCGACAGGCCCTCTAGAACTGGAAACTGAAGCGGGAATCTAAAGTCTTATTACATAAGAACCCGGAGTCAGATATCAGCGTGAAAGCTGAAAAGCAGAGCAGCAGAGCAGCCAGCCACTGTCACTTATCACCTGCATGAAATCTCAGACTGAATGGGGGAGATCCTGTCTCTAGGAATCCTCAGACTGAATGGGAAGATCCTGTCTCTACCCGCCTTCTATTCCTGTCTCCACCTCCTTAGTGCTGGGATCAAATGTGTGAACCACTACCACCCGGCTCGGTTTCTCTTTTAGACTGGTCCAATCTCCTATAGCCCAGGGTGGCCTTGAACTCCTGATCTTCCTTCCAGCACTTCTCCCAAGTGCTGGGATTAAAGGGGTGTGCCACCACAGCCTGGTATCTATGGTTAACTAATGGCTGGCTCTGCCCTCTGATCTCCAGGCAAGCTCTATTTGTCAGAACACAAACAAAATATCATGCAACAGAAAACCCAAACAATCCTTCTTTTTAGAAGTTGCCTTGGTCACAGTGTTTTATGCCAGGAACAGAAAAAGTAACTAACACAGCACCTACTTGATGGTCAATTGAATGATCTATTATGAAGTCTCCTGGATCAAATTAATTTGTTCTAGCTGGTGCCACTTAGAGCATAATGAACTTATATTGCCAACCTGAGTCCTAATTTGAGAGTCATAGGCAAGATGATATGGTTCCTGCTATTTGAAGCCATGAAGGTTGGGGACTGTGGTGGTTTGAAATGTCCTCCACAGGCTCATGGATTTGAACACCTGGTCGCCAGTTTCTGGTGCTGTTTGTGGAGGTTATGGGACCTTTAGGAGGTGGAGTCTTGCTGCAGAGAGTACATCTCTGGGGGATGGGGCTTGAGAGTTTGTGCCTTGCCCCACTTCCTGTCCTTTCTCTCTGTTTCCTGTGTAGGGATGCGATGTGGTCTGCCAGCTTCCTGCTCCTGCTATCATGCTTGCCCCGCCTGTTCCCACCCCTTCCGTGTAGGTGTGGACTCCTTCCCTCCGGAACTTAGAAGAGAATAAGTTCTTTCTCCCCCAATTTGCTTTATTTGTCAAGGTATTTTATCACAGCAACAAAAAAATAACTAATCCGAGGACTTCGCCCCTTGACACCAACACCTGATTAGCGTGATTTGTTAGTGGGCGGCTCTCTGAGTGTTGGACTCGGGATGTGTTTAGATGGGAAAAGCAGGGAATAAACAAATGAGAAAAAGAGACACCTGCCAGTTACTCAGTGAGTCCTTCTGGGTATCTAGTGATTACTGAAGAAATGTGTGGAAAAGAAAAGAGAGGGAAGGAAGTAAAACCTTGTCAACTTTCCAATGTTCCTCAGCAAAAGCTGCCCTGGAGGGCAAGAGGCCAGCACCAGCAGAAACTCCTTGCTTGTGGGTCCTGCTGTTAACAGTCCCCAGAGGCTGGCACAATGCCAGGTGCAGAGTGGATGCTCAACACACGTTGTAACTTTAAAACCTGAGTGGAAATCCCATGTCCAAGTCAGACTCTGCTGGTAAAGAACACAAACGCTGTCAAATTAATGCAAGTAAAAGTCAGTCTCGTGTGAGGATAGAGGGGACTTCTCCACGGATCACTATGAAATGAACGGCAGAGCCTTGTGAGAAAAGAAAAAACTCCCCCTCCTGCCGGCCCCTCCCCAGCCTTGGAGAATTCTTGTTCTGGCTCCCTGCTCAAGGTCTAATCTTTTTCCTTTACAGATCACTTCCTCTGTTAAGCTTTTGTTTCTTTCCCCCTACGTTCCAGTTTGGTGAGGATTTTATTTATTTTATTTTATTTTTGAAACAGGTTTTTGTATGTACCCCTGGCTGTCCTGAAAGTTGCTATGTAGACCAGGCTGGCCTTGAATTTGCAGAGATAGAGATCCACCTGCCTCTGCCTCCCAAGCATTGGGATTAAAGGCATCTGTCACATGCCTACAGTTCTAGTGACCCACAGCAGCCAACTTCTCCCTCTGCCTGGATTTGTTAAG